CGATCGGCAGACAGCGATATGGGCCACAACACTCGGGTATATTGTAGCGTATGTACGCTAAAATTACACTCTCGTATCGGCATTCTTTCTTTCGCCCGCTCGGTCGAGTGGACGGTGCTAACTTTGTTATTACCGGTCAGTGATGCCCGATAATGAGCGTAAACGACGAAAGTGAAATCTACGGTCTATGTACATCAAGGTAACGTATAAGGTTCTCTGTAGGAACTTTTTTTTTTTTTTTTTTTTTTTCTCTCGAGTACATTGTACACTTACTTACCTTCTCCTTCTCTGCAGCATCATCGTCACGGCGCACAACACACACACGCTACACTGCACGTATGTACATAATACGCTAAACAAGTATATTGGATCACTGCACGCGTTGTATACGTATACAGACGCGTGTGGGCGACCTCGTTACCCAGCGGAGTGATGCACGCAACTCCGTGGCAATTAAAATTAATCATAAACAGGCTGCCGTCTCCTCCGTCTTCTTCTCATCTGTTGTACGTTGATGCTGGACGTGGTCGTTGGTCCCCCTGCCGTCGTCGAAGGAGGAGGACGAGATGAGGTCTCTCTCTTTTTTCATGGCACGTTGTATTGTCCAAGGCTTCCCTTCGAACGTGTGCGTGGCCTTTACATTTATTTTAGGATATGGTTAATACGAGCCACTTGACGGCGCGTGCCGTTTTTTGTTTTTCTCTCTTTCGTGTGGGGTTTTTAAATGTAACTTTCTTTAACTTCTTTCCGTCCTTGGCGCGGAAGCGTTGTTTTATTGAGTTACTGCAACATGAGATTTATGCCGTGGTTGCTACTTTTTTCTCATTGGATTACTCGTTTAGTTATTTTATGGTTTTATTTGTACATATATATATTAGCCCAACAAGTATAGTAGACAAGTGGTATTTTAGGTTTTTAGAAGATGTATGGGGAATCGGACTAAAATAAAATGCAAGAGACTCGATTATCTATACTCACTTGGATGATTTGGCATTTTTTAATTTAAATATAGTAAAAAAATGCATACAAGTGTATTCTGAATTAGGGAGTCTCTTTTTATAACGTCAGCATTGGATTGTTGCAACAACAACAAAATTGAGTGAAAATGTGACTAATTTATCTACACTCTATCAATACATGTGGTATAAAATATAGGCAGGACGTATCATGGATTGAATTTTAGTTTTTTAAAAGGGATAATAATTTAGATTTTCTAAGATAGATTTACTCATATACACGAACATTCTATACGAATCACAGTAATCTTCAATGTATTTTTCAATTATAATACAACAGTGAAAATCGCGAATTCAAGTGTGCCAATGTTTTCTAATGTAAATAAACGAATAAATTCAATGGAAAGTCGGGTGTGTAGCAGAAAACGACAGAATAAAACGTTTAAAAAATCGAAGTTATGGACAACTATGATCATCTTTTTGAATTCTAAGCTAAGTGAGAAAGAGAGGGTGAGACAATACACTATTGTACGCGAACTGTATGTTTTTGAAAATGAGTTTTTTAAATTAAAAAGACTATTAAAATTCCTTGGTGAGAATATTATTCATAATTGTATAGAACCAAAACGTAACAAAATTTTCCACGCCTGAGTTAGACAAACAAAGGCGTTTTAAATTCTCATTGGGACACGATACGACGCAACGTTTAAGATTACTTTTGTGTTTGCACTCCCTCCCCCCTTTCCATTAGGTTTAATCCAAGTCCAAACCTCAATTGATTATGTTATGAAACCCCTTTATTCAAAATTTATTGATTCACACAGATTACGTAATTCATCGTGCTACACGTTGAAAAAAGTATTAAAAATTTTTAACTAATACACTTTTTACTATGGTAATTGAAAAATAGATCGATGTTTGTTCTCTTTAAATGATGGTAAGATGTAAGAAAAGCTCGAAGAGAAGTCAAAGAATAAGAAGAAAAATAGAAAAGAAATAATAACGATTACATGAAAAGAAAAAATACGAAAAATACACCGATATATTTATTATTTATAAATAAGAAATAACATCTTAATAGATTTAACTATTCATTTGTAATACAAAAAAAAAAAAAATTTATAGGTACCATCAAAAAGGAAAGTAATAAAAAGCTATGCCAGGTGTGGGGTTCGAACCCACGCTCCCGTATGGGAATTGGAACTTAAGTCCAACGCCTTAGACCACTCGGCCAACCTGACTTAATAGGGTAGATAAAAAAATTATCTCAGCTAGGGGGTTGTATAATATTAATGTTGAATTCACGATTAATTTTTATTATATTTTTTTTTTAAAGAACAGGTACTGTTTGGATCATTATGTGATTTTTATACATATCCCACTTTTCCCATGTATTAGAAATTATAATATTTAAAACCTACTAAAAATTATTAAAATATACTTAGAATTTCACGATTGTTAGGAAAGTGGAGAACGCAATGACTTTTCGCGTCCAAGCCCATAAAAGTATAAGCTGATAAGATGTATGAAAAATTATATT